TGGCAGGGCCGGCAGCTCCGGCTGAAACCAATCTCTCCCCTATCAGCAGAGCTGCTTTTTCTCAGGCTCTGCTTCACTCTGGCTCCTTTCTTTTTTCCCCCACTGGGGCTGGGGGCTCCCCTGGGGCTGGGAGGGATGTCCGGGGTGGGAACGTGAGCATCTCCCCCCCAATCAGCAGCTGCAGCATCCCCCTGTGAGCCCTCGTAGCATCATCATCTCCCCCCTGCCCCCAAGCAATCACAGCATCCCCCATCTCCCTGTATCTTTCATTCCCCTCCTGGATAAATTAGGCCTAAATACATTATAAATGTAATAATAAATTATTATAAATACCCCACCCCACGAGCACTTGTAGCATTTATCCCCCCGTGAGCAATCACTACATCCCCTATCACCTCCCTTCCCCCCATATCCTTCATTCCCCTCCTAGATAAATTAGGCCTAAGTACTTTATAAATTTAATAATAAATTATATAAATACCCCCCATGAGCAGCCTCAGTGTCCCCCCATTAACAATCACTGCATTCCCCACAGCTTCCCTTCCCCCACTATCCTGTATTGCCCTCCTAGATAAATTAAGCCTAAATACATTATAAATGTAATTATAACTTATTATAAATGCCCCCCATGAGCAAATGCAATATCCCCCCATCAGCAATCACAGCACCACCCACCACCCCTCTTCCCCCACTATCCTTCATTCCCCTCCTGCATAAACTAGGCCTAAATATTTCATAAACTTAATCATGAATTATTATAAATACCCACCACCACCTTCATTCCCCCATTGTCCTTCATTCCCCTCCTGGATAATTTAGGCCTAAATAGTTCATAAATTTAAAGTATTATAAGTATTCCCCACCACCACAAACCATTGTAGCATCCCACCCCCATCATTCCCTCATTATCCTTCATTGCCCTCTTAGATAAATTAGACATAATTTAATAATAAATTGTGATAAATCCATTATAAATCCCCCCCCCTCCAGCTTCCCAAACTTTTATTTCATTTGTTTCTCTTGCCCTTTTAACACAGGGCACCACAAGAAGGGTCAGGACAAGTTTTTATCTGGGGGGCAGGGGGGGTGATGGAGAAGAGCCCCAAATGGGAGATAGGTACCCCTGGGCCTGGCCCCAGCTGCTATCAGCTTGGTGCACAGGGCTGATATTTAATGTGCTGATATCTGGGGAGGGGGAAACCTGGCACTGGGATGGGCTGATAGTGGAGAGGGTTGATTTGTGCTCAAAATGTCTGTTTTTCTCCAAAAATGGGGATCCCTGGGGGGGTGGGGAGGTTTGGCTGCTGCCGCCATCCCCGGGAACCCAGGGACAGTGGCAGTGGGCAAACCTCCCCTCCCCCCAGGGACCCCCAAGGGGAAGGAAAAAAATAACCAATTGGATAACGTGACCTTTGAGGACTTGGCCACATTTCCCAAAACCTTATTTGCCCTCAGCCACAGCTCTTGGCATCCCCCATCCCTAGGGAATGGGCTCGGGGGCACCCGAGGGCGTCAGTAAAAGTGAACTTTAATATGTACAGCAGGGAGAAATTGGGTGAGAAGAAGGTGGGCTGGTGTCCCATCAGATACCGGTCTGGGGTTGTTTTGGTTGGTTGTTGGTTGTTTTTTTTTGGATTTGCAACCCAGGTTGTTCTCTGGGCGTTGCTTGCTGCAGGGCTGAGACGGCACAACCCTGCTACGAGACCCTGGGGAATCCCCGGGCTATGCCCAACCCCACTGAATCACTGGAGATGGTTTGGAAACTGGTTGTAAGGAAGGATCAGGATTATGACCCACTCCCGCTCTGGGATACCAGGTTCCTGCAGCCCTCTGCTCATGGCTGCAAAATGTTTTTAGGGAAAAAAAGGAGATTTAGGGGCAGTGGTGATGCCTGGGCTGGATTTCCTTGTGTTTCTGTCACAATGTGATGGAGGAGCATCATGGGAGTGCTGGTGGCATTTATTGGAGGAGGAGGAGGATGGTAATAATAATTATTATTATTATTACTACTTTTATGGTCTTTTTTAATCAGAAGACAGATTCAGGCCCAGCACAGGGATAAGGAGGAGCTGGAAGGGTGGAGAAAGGAGCCTGCCTTGTGGTCTTGCTGAGCCCAAAGGAGCTTGGGATGTCCCCTGGGTCCCCTTAGCGCTGGGGAGTGACACCCCAGAGCCAAGTACCCCAGGGACTTGCTGCATCCCACCCTTTTGGGGTGCCAGGAGCTGAGCCTGGATCATGCAGCTGCCCAGCTCCCACATCCCTCCCTTGAGCTCACCACCTGCCCAGCCCTTGGATTCCTAAAAATAATGACATCTTCAGAGTTGGATGCGAGCAGCCAACACCCAGGCAGGGAAGGCAGGCTGTCCCCAGCCTGCACGTGTGTGCAGTGCAGGACCTGCTTCCCACCACAGAGACTCCTCCTCTTCTTCCTCCTCCTCTCTCTGGAGCTGGTGGGAAAGTCTGGGGCTGTTGCTATTTTCTATCTGTTATCGGGGCCTCTTATCACTTTGCTCTTGTCTCTGTGCCGGCTTTGGAGCGTCCAGGGTCTTGCTCTTGGCAGCCACCAGAACTCCCCCCTCCTTTCTCATTTTGCATATTCTTTCCCCCCCCACCACCCCTTTTGTTTCTTTTACCATCTAAGTGCAAATCATCAAGCACAGGTTTATTGTTCTTGTGCCAGGAGAACTGGAATTTGAGGAAAATGATTAAATCATCACCTGGGTAACGATGGGTTTTCCTACAGCTGGAAAAGCCCTGGGAACGCCCACCCTCATGCCCACCTGGAGTCACATCCCTGGCCTGCACATGGGTGACATGGGCGTGTTGCTTCCTGCTGCTTTTTGCAATCACTCTAATTTTATATATATATTTTTTTTAAAAAAAAAAAGGGGGGGAAAGGAAGAAATCCTTCCTTGTTATCAAGAAAAAGGGGAGGGAGAAGAGTTAATCGTCGAAGTGTCTTGGAAGGGAGCAGTTTTTGGCTCTTCCCCTCTCTGTAAAGCCAGCCTCAGTAATTCAGTTTTAAAGCATGAAAAAAGGGAGTTGATGAAATTCCACTATCAGCACTGAACCAATATGCAAAATATCTTGCTGAAAATCAAATAGCTATTATGTTTTCATTTCCATTTCAGCGTATTTGCTTAATGAAGAATAGACAGATCAGGCAAGCCGAGGGAGGCTGTGTGTGGTGATAACTGTGCAGGGCTTCCAGCAATCCTGGAGAAGTGACGCTCTGCTCCCTGCTCCATCCTCCCTCTCTTGCCTTTTTTTTTTTTTCCCTCCTTTAAAAAAAAATAAAATAAATAAATGTAAGCCATCCAGTGGTTGATTTAACCCCTGCGGCTGCAACTGCCAGGGCCAGAGCATCCCCTGGGGCTGGGCAGGTGCTGGGAATGGGATGCTGCAGTGGGGCAGGTGGGGTGCTGGGGTTCATCCAGGGACCACGCTGCTGGGATGCTGCACTGGGGCAGGCTAGGTGCTGGGATGCATCCAGGGACCACGCTGCTGGGATGCTGCACTGGGGCAGGCGGGGTGCTGGGATGCATCCAGGGACCACATCTTCATAGGTGCTCAGTGATGCTGCACTGCCCAAACCCCAGCTTTCATAGGATTGTGTTTATATGGAGCATCCCCGTCTCCCTCCTGGCCAGGGCTTAGCGTTTTGGGATAGGACGCAGGTGATCTGGGCACCCCTGGGTGGGTGCCACGTGCTGGGCTGGCCCCATCCCTCCCTCCCCAGCTTCCCTCCATCCTTTCCCAGCGCCCGTTTATCCATCCCCAGCCCGCCTTTCCCGGCCACCCCTCCATCCTTTCCCAGTCCCATCCCTCCCTCCCCAGCCCGGTCCCTCCCTCCCCGGCCGGGCTGAAGGTGCCCAGCCCCGGAGCAGCCGAGACTCGGGTCCCGGCCCCCCCTCCATCCTTTCCCAGTCCCATCCCTCCCTCCCCAGCCCGGTCCCTCCCTCCCCGGCCGGGCTGAAGGTGCCCAGCCCCGGAGCAGCCGAGACTCGGGTTAACTTTATCAGAAGCCCGAGAGCCGCGAAGGCGTGAAAGAAGAAATTAGCCTAACAATGTTTCATTTACAGCGAGAGAAACGATTTGTTAGCTGGCGATTGTTTCTGAATATTATCAGAGCCTTTTTAATTGTGCTGGAACTGAAATTAGCAGAATTAGAATAAATTGCCTTCCCTTCTCCGGCAGCCTCTTTATTCACGCTCATTGTTGTCTGCTTTGTATAGATTATGGGCTCTTTGTTCTCCTGCTGTAAATATACATGCCTGGAGTCAGGGAGAGCAGCTGAGGTCTGCAGAGGGTTTGTCACCAGGCTGTCCCCTGCCCCTGCTGGAAGGGGACACCGGGCAGCAGCTTCGTGCACCACGAGCCGCGTGTGCTGCTCTTCAGTTCTGCCTTGGTGTCCACAGGGATGCTGCGTTGCCATGGAAATGGCAGTGGGGGCTGGCGGGGCTGTTTGGGGTGTCCCCCATGTACACACCCTTTGCTCCCTCCTTCCCCACTCCCTTGTTACCACTGCAGCATCCCCTGTTGTCCGGGGCTGCCTTCTGGGTCCCTTGTCACACAAGGGGTGCTGGGGACCACAGGGGATGGTTCCTGGGGTCCCTCAGAGCAGGTGTTGGCGATGGGGGGGGTTAGGTGGAAAGCGTGGCCTTGCCATGCTGTCTGTGGCATGTGGCAACCCCACTCTCTCTTCAGGCAAACGTGGGGATGTCACCGTGATGTCTGCAGGGGACCTGGGGGATACCAGGCTCTGTGTCCCTCCCAGCCCCTTGGTGAGGGGACGAGGGACCCCTCGGGAGATGCTGGGGAGGGGGTTTCCCTTCCTTTGGCATGCAGAGTTCAGCAGCTGGGTCACGGAAAGGGCCCTTTACCAGACCCTAGAACATCTACATCCTACATTTCCCACCTGGGAAAACCCACTGGAGTTATTTCACACACACACACCCCCCAACCACGCCTTCCATGTTCCGGCAGGTTCCCTGGCAGCGATGGAGGAAGGTGAGGACACCCCGATGGGGGAGAAGAGCCCCTCGGAGAGGGACGGGGGCGGCTCGGACCACGAGGGCTCTGCTGAGCACAGCACCTCCAGCCCCCCCGGCAGCGAAGGTGAGCCTGGCCGTGGTGGTGGGGCTGCCCACAGTGTGTGTGTCCCCCATGGGGATGGGCTGTGCCACCAGAGCAACCCTGGTGATGGTGATGCAGGAGGGTAATTAGCTAACGAAGCATCCCGCCCCCCTGGGGGTGGGTTGCTGGTTAAGTGAGGCACCCAGTATCCCTGGGATGCTCCATCCCTCTGGCTGGCAGCGAGGATGCTGCTGGCATAGGGGAGCTTGGTGCAGATCTCAGCTCTACCAGGGACTGTGGGGTTCTGGAGAGGGCCACAAGCTGGGCTGCTGGAAACCAGAGGTGGTTTGCTCTCTGCCATGGCTGCTAACGAGCATCAGCTGCTAACGAGCATTGCTACCCTGTGTCTGTTTCACTGCCTTTCACCTGCCCCAGCACTGAGCTTTGGCTAGAGGGATGTGGGGGCTCTAGGTGACTCCTCTGGGGTGCAAAGTGACTCCTTGGGCAGCCAAGTGACTCCCCAGGATGCAGAGTGACTCCTTGGGGTGCCGAGTGACTCCTCGAGGGGCAAAGCAGCAAGGCCAGGGATGGGGATGGGGGGACACAGCCAGGGCTGCCGGTTTCCTGCGGGTGCCGCCTGCCTGCCGCCGCCCCACCCCAGAGGTGGCTGCGTTTCAGGGCCGGGCTGAAACCCGTCCCCAGATATCCTTTAAGTTCCTTCCTGTGGAGGTGGGGGAAAATCCTAATCAGTTAATGTTTGCAGTGCCCTGCGAGATAACCATGGCAGGGCAAGGCTGCGCCGGCTCACAGGGAACCCGCTGCCTTCCCCTGCCTGCAACCAGGGAGCAAAGTGTGTGTGTTTGTGTGTGTCCCCCAAAAAAACCCACCCAAACCAGGGGTAGCCAAGCCTGGAAAGCTGTGGGGGGAAGGGGATCCCTGCCAGCTCCCTGGTAGCTGGGGGCTCAGCAGCAAACTTTGCTCAGCAGCAGGGAGAAGTGAGCGGGGCGTTATCTGATGGGGGGAGCCGGGAGCCTGGGCGCGGAGCTGCACCTGGCACTGGCCTGCCTCTATAAAGAGGTGATAGCAGAGATAAGGCCCAGCAGCAATAACGGCCACTAAAGCTTTCAGCGCGATGGATAAAAATCGATATGCCAGGCACTTTGATTTATAGCCAAAAATAATAGGACTTTTATACCCGGTGATTGATTTATTTGATGTTAATCATCCCGCTTATCACCTGTATTAATAATCTGCAAGGCGGGTGACGTCACCCCTGGGTGCCCGATCGATGGGCTCCGCGCTGGTGATCTGCCCGCGACGCCAAGGCAAACATGTACTTTGGGCACTAATCTTCCACACTGTCATATGCAGATAGGGCCTTATCAGCTGCATCTCCAGCAGCAGTTAATGGGGAAAATAATTGTTATCAAGTTGCTATGAATACGCCACAAATAGAGCTGTGACGGGAGCTGGGCAGGGCCGGACCAGGCCATGTGGGGCCCGCGGTGGGATGGGAGAGTTGTCCCCTCCCACCCACTCCCTGGGGGGTTTGGGGGCTGGGTGCCCACCTGGAGGTGGTTTAGGAAATCCCTAGAAGGGGGTTGGCTCTCCTTATGGGTGATCTTGCGAGGTGCAGGCGATTGCTGGGCAATAAGGGAGTTGGCACAAGGGGTTCCAGGAGAACAAGCCCCCCCCATGCACATCCTTGAGGGTGAAGCCACGTGCATCCCAGCCCCAGGGTGTCACCGGTCTGGTTGTCCCGACCCCTGTGGGATGCCAGCTTAGAAATCCCTTGTGTATGAGCTTCTGCCTTTCCCTCTCCTCCTGCAGAGTCCAGAGATGCCCCAGAGAGTCCAAAGGAGCTGGAGAAGCTGGATCCTGGAGAAAACCCACAGGAGCCAGATGCCTGGAATGGGCCAGGTGAGTCCTCAGTGTGCAGCCGCTCTGTCCTTCTTGGCTGGGAACATGGGTGGGACCAGTGTGAGGAGGACTGGGAACACTGGGGACTGGGCAGGTTGCAAACACTGACACTTCGCTGCAAGAGCAGGTATGAGATGATGGTTGTGGTCCCATCATGTCCTGTGAGCCACTGTTGAGAGAGGGGTTCCAGGAGAACAAGCCCCCCCCATGCACATCCTTGAGGGTGAAGCCACGTGCATCCCAGCCCCAGGGTGTCACCGGTCTGGTTGTCCCGACCCCTGTGGGATGCCAGCTTAGAAATCCCTTGTGTATGAGCTTCTGCCTTTCCCTCTCCTCCTGCAGAGTCCAGAGATGCCCCAGAGAGTCCAAAGGAGCTGGAGAAGCTGGATCCTGGAGAAAACCCACAGGAGCCAGATGCCTGGAATGGGCCAGGTGAGTCCTCAGTGTGCAGCCGCTCTGTCCTTCTTGGCTGGGAACATGGGTGGGACCAGTGTGAGGAGGACTGGGAACACTGGGGACTGGGCAGGTTGCAAACACTGACACTTCGCTGCAAGAGCAGGTATGAGATGATGGTTGTGGTCCCATCATGTCCTGTGAGCCACTGTTGAGAGCCCAGACAATGCTCAGGGAGCAGCAGGGGTGCCGGTAGCACAGCTGGATCGTGTTCCTGGGCACAGGGAGGGTTCAAACCCGTCCTGCGTGGCCAGGGCACTGTGCAAACATCCTGGCAACCACAAGAGCGAGACTCAAAGCAGTTTAGTGATGGTTATCAGAAACCCCAAGGAGCAAATGCAGCTATCTCCCTCTTGGCATCTCCGCGCCGAGGCCGCTGGCACGTGGGCAGCCCGGCGGGGCTGTGTGGGTACCCCGTGCCCTATCACCCCCTATCTGCAAACCGACCCGCGATGGGGCTGCCCTTGGGGTTCCTCCACAAAGATTGGGTTTGTGGGTGCGTGGCCACTGGGGATGGCACCCGGCAGGGGGACGGGGATGGGAGCAGAGGGAGCCGAGACCCATCCAACATGGCCTTGAACACTTTCAGGGATGGGGCAGCCACAGCTTCTCTGGGCAGCCTGGGCCAGGGTCTCACCACCCTCACACTAATAAATTTCCTCCTAATGTCTATCCTAAGTCTACCCCCTTCCAGTTTAAAGCCATTCCCTCCCTCATCCTATCAGTCCATGCCCTTGTAAAATGTCCATCCTCAGCTTTCCTGTAGCCCTATCAGATGATGGGAAGGAGTGACCCCCAGTGCTGGACACCAATTGCCTTTCAGTGATGGATAGGGTCCTGGTGTGCCCCCAGGGCCACCAGCCTGGGGGATTGGAGCAGCTCTGGGAACTGCTGGCTGCCAGCACATGTGCTCCTGCAGCTGCCGAAATCCCCAGGAGCCAGCGAGGAGCCCTGGCCCCGCTCCCTCTTCCCGCCCCATCCGAAGGGAAGCGCTCGCCTGTCCCGCTGATATCCCGGCCTTTCCTGCGTGCCGGGCAGGAAGGAGCTGCGAGGCCACCCCCGGATCCTCCTTATCTGCTCCCCGGCCCTTTGCCCCCAGCACCGCCGCGCTCCCCGCTCCTCCGCTGCCATCCCAGTGAAGGGCAGGAAGGGGCTGTTCTGCCCATCCCATAGATGTCCCCACTCCCTGGGGGTTCCAACACCCCATCTTCCACCAAACCCAATGGCTACAGCCCACGAAGCCTCCTCACTGCCCATGCCCTCCCCTTCCCCCCTTCCCTCTCCGGAGCGGGTTATTTGCATTCTTTATGTAAAAGAGATTTTATTATCGCCTTCTCCCAGCCCATCTCTATTCTGGTAATTGGAGTGGTATTAATTTCTGTGTGGCTGGGAGTTGATGGCGGTCCGGCGATGCTGCAGCGATAGGATGTTCCCTTCGCACCAACCGCCGCGATAGCCCGTCTATCAGGCGCTCTGCAGGCTCGGCACTTATCAGGGATGGAGCTGGCGAAAAGGGAAACTCTGAGCAGCCTGAATTTTCTTTTTTTATCTGGCAGGATCCGCCGCGTGTCAGCAGTGGCAGCCGCAAGGATGCGGCGAGGCCGGGGGTGGAGGGGCAGGGAAGCTGCCCCGGGTGTCTCTGTTCGTGCATGTGGGGGTCTCGCTGTCCCCTGGTCTGTTTCTGGGGGGCTCCTGGGTCACCCCTGCCGTGGCTTTGTCTTTAGGGTTTCTGAAGGGCAACAGGGATGGGGAAGGGTCTGGAGCACAAGTCTGGTGAGGGGTGGCTGAGGGAACTGGGGATGTTCAGCCTGGAGGAAAGGAGGCTGAGGGGAGACCTTCTCACTCTCTACAGCTCCCTGAGAGGAGGTTGGAGCGAGGAGGGGTCTGTCTCTTCTCCCAAGGAACCAGCCATAGGACAAGAGGAAATGGTGTCAAGTTGTGCCAAGGGAGGTTTTGGTTGGATATTGGGAATAATTTATCCCCTGAAAGGGCTGTCGGGCCCTGGCCCAGGCTGCCCAGGGCAGTGGTGGAGTCCCCATCCCTGGAAGGATTTCAGAGCCATGTAGATGTGGTGCTGAGGGACATGGGTTAATGGTGGCCTTGGCAGTGCTGGGTTGATGGTTGAATTTGATGGTCTTAAAGGTCTTTTCCAACCAAAAGGATTTTGTGACTCAGTGTTTCTAGGGGGCTGGTGTCCTGGCTTGGCAGCGTGGGGACACAGAGTGCCGGGACCTCGCCGGCGGGTTCCTTGGCCCTGCGTGCTGGTGAGGGAGAAGGAGGGGGTTTTTTGCTTTATCTTTGAAATGACCTTGTTCACTGGAGGGGGCTGCTGCTTGCCTGGCTGATAGGCAAATCCCTGGGAGCTGGAGGCTGTAATCCATGACTCAGGAATCCTTACAGACGAGCAGGGGGGCTGGGACACCCCAACTCGGTTCTGCTTCCTGTGACAGAGTGTGGCTGTACTTCATGCCTGCTCATGCCAGCCTCTGCTGCCTGTGGCAGGGCTGGAGAGGAGATGCCATCCTCTCCAAATTCCCCTTGACCTTCCACACAGCCCCTCTGACATGCCCCAGGTTTCCATCTTTCCCGCTTGTTTGTGTTTGCTCTGGAGTGAGGCTGGTGACAGAGACTTTCAGGAGCACCAGGAGCCCTCCCTTCCCTCCTCATCACTGCCCAACCAACCTCTCCAATTTTCCCAGAGGGATAAGGTGAAAAGCTCCCAAGAAATTTCTCGGATGTGGTGTTGGGACAGGCAAAGAGGGAAGCTGAACCCATCTGAGGGACAAGGCTGCCCAACTGCATCACAAGGCACTGGAGAATCCCCACTGGGAGGCTGCAGCCCTCAGGAAGCCCAGCTGGCACTTGCCTTTCTGCAAAGTGGGATGAAGCTTTTTGCTTTTGCCCCTGCAGGGCCACCAATAGGGAAGGGATAGAGCAGATGGGGCCAAACCCAGGGTGGCTTTTGCCCTGTGCCCCCAGGGATGTCCCACCACCCTCCCCAGAACAGCAGCAGGGGTTCCTCACCCCCTTTCCTATATCAGCCTCACTCTTTGGGCCTCCACCAGCATTCCCACCTTGCTGAGCCCCAGGCTCCCACTGCCAGCTTCTCTCTTCAGGGTTTATTGATTGCTCTGGGTTAATTATGTCGTGCGGCACAGGCACTGAGCCCCATCCCCACCACTAGCCCTGCGTGCAGCGTTTTGAGGTGGCACAGAACAACTTCACTTCATTCTCATTTTTTTTTCCGACGCATCTAATTAAACCAGCAAACTTTCTAGTTTTTCCTTCCCCCCCAGCTCTTCCCCCCCTATCTACTCCGTGACTCCTGCTTGAATAATCTCCTGCTGCCCGGGGTTTGTCTGGAAACCTCAAGGTTGATTATCGGGGCGAGCAGGGCACGGCGCGGAGCGCTGGCTGGGCCGGGTGGCCGGCACCGCATCTGCCCCGCCGCTCCCCCTTCCCCTCCGCCCTGGTATGTGTGGGTGGGAAAAATAATTCCAACTATTTCTCTTTTTTTTAATTTATTATCGCTGGGAGCCGGGCTGAGCGGCAGATTGTGTGTTAAAGAAGTTGGGGTTTGGGAGCAGCAGCCCCCACCAAGTCAGAGGGTCCCGCAGGGATCTGAACCCCAACCCCCTCCTGTCTGGCTTGTGTCTGGCAAAGCAGTGGGATGTTTGGCATCAGGATGGGGATGGTCCCAGGATGACAGTAGGACCTGTCTTGGATTGGGGACATTGGAGGGGGGTTTTCCCTGCTGGGGTCTGTACCTGCATGTCCCTGTCCTTGGTTCAGCCTCTCTCTGAGGACACAGCAGAGTGGACAGGTGTGCAGGACAGCTTGGGCACGCTGCTGGGGTGAAGGGATGGCTGGACTGGTTTGGGAACATTGATGGGGTGAAGGGATGCTCGAACCAGTTGGAGGTGTTGTTGAGTGGAAAGATGATCAGACCAGTCTGGGGACTCTGCAGAGTGGAGGGATGATCAGGAGAGTTTGGGGACACTTCTGGGGTAGGTGGCACTCACCTTTCCCACAACCTGGCAGGGACACCCTCACGACGAGCAGCACCAGGGGTTGTTGAGATGTGCAGGCAGCATCACCCCCCTGTGTCACCATCCTCCCTTTCCTTGGGAAATCCCTTGGGAAGAAGAATGTCTTTTGTCCTGGGGGTGAGAGCCCCATGAGCGATGCTGCCTGGCAGGGGTGTCTGGCAGCTGTCAGTCACTGCTGCTCTGCCCTGGGCTGCAGCTGAGGACCAGCCAGTTTGGGGCTTGGTGTGATGTCACTTTCCCACCCCCCTTCTCCATCTGGGTACTGCCCCCCTCAGGGGTGCTCCCCCCACTCCCCATGTGGTCCCTTCCCCTTTCCGGAGGGGATATCTGCCCTCTACATCACTCTAGGGGCCCCTTCCTCCCCCCCACCCCAGCTTCCTGCCCCCCCAGTGCACCCCTGCCCACTGCCTGGCACCAGCCTGGGCAGAGCTGGGGGGTCATAGCAGCCCCAAGAGCAGGGACAGTGCAGGGACAGAGAGTCCCCAGCACAGAGGTGCA